CCCCCCCCCCCCCTTATCGCCGAAATTACTGAACCTACAAGTTTGAGAAAACGCAGAGAATAGTACTTTACCTATAGATTACAAGAAAATTAATAAGAAGTCTATAGTCTAAACATAACGTGGTAAATCTTTCAACAAAACAATATTGTGCGTACTACATTTGCAGTGTTAAATGTATGGGAGAACATGTTCTTTTATCAAACACAATATTAAGTTGGTTTCCGGGTTACTTCTTAATCTATACATCGAAAACTCGATCAACACCATTAAAGACAGTACTACAGTAGGGACAGATATACAGGGACAAAAAATTAGTATGGTTAGATTTGCAAATGATACAGAAGTATAAGCATCTAGCAAGAGGGAGTTTGAGATAGCTTCAAATAAAATAATTTAGATATCTAGGAAGTCAGATAAGTCAGGACGGAAGGAGTAGTAGGGATATAAAGCAGAGGATAACGCATGGTCGCGTCGCCTTCAATAAAAACAAGTCACTTCTTTGCTCGCGAACGATTAATTTAGAAAATCGAAAAAGATTGTTAAAGGTGTATGTTTGAAGCGCGACGCTGTACGGGTGCGAAACATGGACTGTGGAAGCGGCAGAAAAGGAAGGTTAGAAGCGTTCGAAATGTGGTGTTACAGCGGGTAGAGAAGGCTAGAGATGAAGAGTTATTAGAAGTAATAGATGAACGGAGGACCCTATAGAAGTCAATGAGAAATAGACGAGGTAGGTTGGTAGGACACCATCAGGCATTAAGTTCTAGTCAGGGACATATTAGAGGCATAAGCAGGAGTTAAGAGGAGTAGAGGTAGATACTGTTCGAGAATTGTTAAGGATGCGGGTTGTTCTACTTTTGAGGAGATTAGGACTGACGACCATATGATGATGATTGTAATTGTGCGTGTTAGGGACTAATTTGGGGGGAAGCAAAAAACATACAAAAAGCGGGACAATCTTCAGGAATCGATTCCCTTAACAGACGAACTATTTTTATATCTAAGTTTAAGTTTAATCTGACTCCCACTCGGGCAGTTTTTTATCAGTCATGTTTCAATTGTTTTAGGAAGGACAGATTGATGCCTTTTCGGACATAAACCACGAAGGACCATTTCCGCCCACGTTACCACCACCGCCTCCATCCCCAAATGGTAAGACTTGTTCATGCTCTGAACCCGAAAAGAATTGCTGTAACTTTCTTTTTAACGGCATTCAAGGAGAAGGATCTTGGCCAAAAGGTGAAAAGGGAGATAGAGGACCTCGCGTAAGTCGTTTAACTATAACTTTAAAAATATACAAAATCTAACATCCACGTTTTAATTACATCATTAGGGTCCACCTGGAGAATCTATAAGGGGACCGCCGGGACCACCTGGTCCTCCTGGGCTTCCCGCGCCTGCATTAACAGAGGTAAAATTAACATTCTTACTTTATTAAAGAAATAACTAATAACGCATTACGACCGTCATTAAATAGCACTTTTACTACGGTAGGAATATAAACGTTTTCAAAATTTTATCCTCGTAATTTAAATAGAATTTGTTGGAATTTGGGATTAAGGTGCTTGATCACTTCCGCACTTGTCAAATTACATTGGACACTTCTAATGAATCTTAAAATTTAAAAGAAGTAGTTAGTAAAAGTGATTGCGAGATCCAAAATATATCTAAATCCACATTACAGAGTTGCTGAAAAAGTGTAATGAGGGCGAATATGCTAATTACTTAAAAAGCTTTCTATAAATATTAAAATTAAACTGTATTAAATTTGTTAGTTATTCTTTACAATAAACCTCAAACCTAACTAGCTGACCCGGCAGACTTCGTACTGCCTCAATCGATATATAAAAGACCTTAACTTTTGTATAAAATAAGCTTGGTTAACAGATGTCAAATATTATGGTTGCGTTCAGAAATTTAATTTGTGACAAAACTTAAGNAAAAATTAATTTGTTACAAATAATCTGAAAAATAGTTAACGACTTTCATAATTATTCACTTTTAAACCTTCTCTGGACTTCCACAAGTAATTCAAGACCAAAATTAGCCAAATCGGTCCATCGGTTCACGAGTTTTAACGAGACTAACGAACAGCAATTCATTTTTATATATGTAGATTTATGTTACATTTTGTTACACATTGTGTTATTTATGTAAGCGATAAGTGAGCACTTTTGATTGTAATATCAATAGCAAATTTAATTACAGAACGACAAGAAGAAGAAGGTATTATATGTATTTCAGGTTTTAGTGTTAAAGGTGACAACAAAATTCCCCTAAAAACAAAAAAGCCTATGTATGAAGTGCCACAGTACCTACTATAGATGAATTCACAGATTTAGTACAAGTTTTATTAACCTTTATGAAACTAGTAACACTAAATCAAAAAAATGTCCACATTTTGCTACTATTTAACTACTGGCTCCCTTGAAACAGTATTCAGTGTCTGTAAATACGACATATACATATTATACGAGTGAGAATACCATTTCCAGAGACAAACTATACAACCCTGCTAAATGGCTGTCCTACTTGATTTATGGTTAAGATAGAATAAATTCTACCCGTTGGAGAACTGTCGTTTTTGCCTTCGAAAATAATAGTTTTGTTAGTACCTCAGTTTTCAACACGTTCATAAGATTATCCAGTTTCTTCATGAGTAATTTTTACACTTAAAAAAAAATAATTTACATTTTAGTCATTTATTCAGCAGTGGCATAATCGGCACATTAAGGGATTTTTATTTATTATGTAAATCAATAAAGTACTACATTGTTATCATCTAAAGCAGGCGTAGTGATGACTTACAAGAACTTAAAGCTTTCCCGATTCTCTATTAATTAAATTCTTCTCGTGAATGAAGTGATCTTCAAATATGACTCAAGCTGCAATTTCATCTCGAATGCCATTGATGGAGTTATTTTATTCTGACGAACCAACTGTGCCACGGCTCAATATTGATCGAACAAATTTCATTTTTACGTCTAATAGAACTTATTCGAGTAAATGCCTTTAATTTTCCATTATTAGTAAGTATAAGTGTTCAGCAAATGATTCCTCTCCACTTATTGAAACCTATAAACTTCAGTTTTAAACCACTGAACCGATTACGTATCATAATCCGTAAATTATATTATCGTACGGCTATGTCAACAGATAACTACACAAATTGGGCAGAAATGCATGCCATAGTATTCAAAGACTAAGACTAATTTTTGCTTTACCTGTATAAGGTATATGTTAGACTGTATTATGCTGTTACATGAACATGACCACGAGAGCAGTCACTTCCTTCGTGTTGTCTTTTCCTATCCTAGCCTTATGAAGCACATCATCATCATAAGATCGTCAGTCCTAAGACTGATTGCATTCGCACTTCTATTCTTTCTTATCCTGATCTAACTTTCGCATTTCCCTAAAACTAGGACATCCCATATCCTTAACTATTTTTGAACAGTAATCCAATCTAGGGCTACCTCTACTCCTCTTAACTCTTGTTTCTACCTCTCATACGTCTCTGACTAGACCTTCATGCCTGAAAAGGTTTCCTACTAACCTATCTCGCCTATTTTTTATTGACTTCCATAGAGTCCTCTGTTCTCCTATTCTTTCTAATACCTCTTCATCTCTAACAATAACCTAACCTTCTCTATCCACGAGATCCTCATCATTTGCCGGTAACACCACATTTCGAATGCTTCTAACCTTTCCGCCGCGGCCACCGTCCATGTTTCACACCCGTACAGCGTCGCGCTTCAACCATACACCTTTAACAATCCTTTCCGAATTTCTATATTAATCATTCGCTAGCATAGAAGTGACTTCTTTTATCTGACTTCCTAGATACCTAAAAGAAATGGTTCTTCTAATCTTTCGTCTCTTTCCTTACTTTTTCTTCCCTTGCATACCAGTATTTTTATTTTACTTTTATTTATTTTCATACAGTACTTACACATAAGGATCTTTTGGTTAGATATGTATTTTCGATAGATACCTAACAGATAAATTATTTAGAATGTATAAGAAAGTGATACAGGAAGTTTAAAGTACATGGAAAACTTTCACTAGTTTTGCCATTACCAGGGTTTATGAGTTCTAACATTTTCACACATTTGTAGAAAAAACTGTACCTGTCACCAAACAGCAATGCAGAAGAACAGGTTCTATTTTATATGGATATCTTCTGTCATTTATTTGTAAATTATCTCAGTCTGTTGCAGTTTCTGATCAGAGAGAGCATTGAGAAAAAATCCTCATCTATCATATCGTAAAGCAAAACAAATTAATCAACTTTTTAAATACTGGTTTCTGTTATGAACAAAAATAAATCAAACATTTGAATAGCAAATGAGGAACTGTAAAACAAAATAAAAATTATTGTGGAAATGTTTCTGAATTCAAACAAAACAATTAGACTTCTGTGCACTTTGCTTTTTGTTTTTTTTTTTTGATAGAAAATTTTCCTTGATGACGTCCTGTAATTAATTAGGATCCTTCTTCTAAACTATGTATGCAAATACATATATATATATCTGCGTAATTTTCCTATTGCAGAAGTAATTCTCCAATATACATAATATTAACCTTGATTCGCTTCAATCACAGCAATTACTCTCCAGAAGGTTCGGTTACAAACAGGAAATAAAACGGGTAGACATCGAGGAAGTGCAGGCACTTATTGATAAATGCCGCAATTAAATATTAACAAAGTTAGGAAGTAAAGAAGATACATAAACACGATACTTAATAAGAACATAAAATCTATAAAGTTGTTAACCTTGTCGAAATGTTAATATTAAGATTATTTATTTATATACGTAGGCCTACAGTACGTAACAAAAGCAGCAGGATCAATAAATATACCTAAGTTTTATCCTTTGATATGAGAAAGACCAATCTGTATTGTTTAGATTTATGTATCACCAAATTACATACTAAACAAAAATTACTTACGAACATTAAATTATTAATTAGCAATATGAAGAAATTTCCCCAATCGCTTTGTATACGTACTGTAGTGGCTAACAAAAATTAGGCAAAATTTTAAAAAGAATTGTAAATATACTAACGATAGTTAATATAGACAGAAATGGAAGAGAAGAATCTCATGGATGATACACAAAAAGGCTACAGAAAAGAGGGATGCTGGATACATTATACATGGTAAAGACGGTCATTGAGGTAGAAACAAAGAAAGATAAAGGAGAAATCTTCCTATTCTTTACTGATATAAAGGAGCCTTTAGAGGAGGCAGGATAAACAGAAAGAAAATATGGAGGATAATGGAAGAAAAAGAAAAGTTAAGGAAAAGAATAGAAGAAATATATGAAGCAACATCATTTAAAGTGTGATTCAATGAAGGAATTTTTGAAAAAATTCACACGAGTAACGGGATGCGAAAAGAATGCCTCTTGAGTACAGCTCTTTTCAGCATAGCTTTTGCGGATCTAGAAAATACAATGAGGAAAGTTCAAATGAGAGGAGTATTTATGGAAAAGAAGAAAGTATGGACAGTATCTTACGCGGATTAGATAGAATTGATGGCGAACAAGGAAGAGGGGATGACAGAAAAGAGGTCTAGATATGAACACGGATAAATCGAAGATAATGAGAGGCAGAAAGGGTGGTGGAAGAACTAAAAAGACAATATTTATATGGGAAGGAAAAGAAATTGAAGAAGTAAAAATGTACAACTACCTAGGCTACTTCATACAGAAGAACAACGGAAACAAAGAGCCAATCATCATCATCATAAGGTCATCAGTCCTTAGACTGGTTGGACACGTACCTCCACTCTTTCTTATCCTGAACTAATCTTCGCATTTCCCTAAAACTAGAACAGCCCACATCCTTAACTATTTGCGAAGAGTAATCTAATCTACCTCTACCCCTCCTAACTCCAGTTTCTGCCTCTAATATGTCTCTGACTAGACCTTCATGCCTGAGAAGGTGTCCTACCAACCTATCTCGCCTATTTTTTATTGACTTCCATAGAGTCCTCTGT